CGTCTACGGGTATAACACTACTGATTCTAGCACCATTTTCTGAGGCACCACGCTTTAAAAGCGGCACGGCTTCTCCAGCAGATGCAACACCAATGTTTGACTATGGGGTGGCCTTTGCCCCTATCTAGACCTATCTCTATGTTCAGGTCTTTACAATAGTAGTGATATCGTTCGGCTTGCTACTCTGGATGGCACTACTTCTAGCCTATGGCAACAGAATCCCTGATTTTGCTCTATCAGCCACTCAACATTTCCTGCCGGTAGAGACTCTGTATGATGGTGAGCATTAATGTCATCTTATTGGCGACGTTAGCAAAGCATAACCAACTCCTAATGAATATCTTTTAGACTGGACGCTTAGAACTTCTTGTACAGCACTATCTCTAGCCATACTTGTGGTTTTCATGACTTACATCTACTTGGTTCGTTCCCATGATCAAACCAAAACCAGAGGGAATGCCCTCAATGAAGTCTTTTCGTTTTGCAGGTTTTCGCAGATTACTACGTCTTCTTGAAAGAACGGGAAGAAGCATTCTTGAATGACAGTGATCACTCAATGCAATACACACCAGTGTCACCCCATGATATTTAGGAAATTATAAAGTTTGTCACAAGCGAGTAGTCTTCAAATGAAAAATGACCTCTCCTTTAATCTCAACTGAAGACAAAAATTCTGCAAAACCTGTACAAAATTATGAAAGTGTTCAATCCACGTCGTACATGCGAATTAGCCATAATATAACTTAAACGAATTTTCCTAAATTGTCACCGGTACAAAACAGTAAACATACATACATGCAAAAATAGTAGAGTGTTGCCGCTAACAACTCTAGTCCTCACGGTACCGTATGTCGTAATCACCGTAGTCAGGAGTACTCTTACGGCTATAGTCTCCGCGTATGTAGTCGTCATCCGAATCGTCCTCTTCCCCTTCATACACTCCCATTTCAAAACCTTCAAGGCGACGTCGCATGCGTTCAAGGGCAAAAGGAGACTCATCGTGTTCATCGTAGACGTTTCTACGAACCTAAATGGGAACTGAGCTGAACGGTATCATGCATACAATCATTTTAAACGAACGGGTGAAGAAAAAAGAAATAAAAGGACAAAAAAGGGCAGAATGATTACTCAAAAGCTCGACAGCGAAACCGACTTGCTTCAAATACTTTCCTATTAGAAAAAATTTTCCCGATGTTCAGCGTGAAAATATTTCATTCAAGAGTAGTAAAACTGTGAAATTGCCACAACTTAACTTGGCTCAATGGTGGACCCTTCTAACAAAAACAAAAATCCTTTATACTTCAACTTATTATCAAGGGTTAAGAATAAACGTTTTCATTCAAATAATCGAAGCGACTAACATGAGTTCAAACATACAAGAGACATACCATTCTATCGTCCTCATCATAATAGTTCAAATCCTCGTCTTCTGTGTCATCGTCGTCGTCGTCATCCTCTTCTTCGGGATAATCGTTCCTCCAGTTATTCTCATCATTTGAGTCATCATCGTCGTCTGCCGCACAATCACTTTCGGAATCGGAATTTCCAAGGAGCAAGGTTTGCTCTTCCCTAACATGGCTTATGCACTCGGAGAGGAAGATTACTGAGAAATCCATTCCTACGTGTCGTAAGGAAATCAAAACTCACTCAGTAGCGAATCTCAGCTCGATGTCAGAATTCCACTGCTTTATTGGCTCTGTCATTGATCCTCGATATATTTTGTAATAGTCGTATCTCACGGCTTCGTTCTCAGCAATGTTATTATCTCCCTGAAATTTGCAAAGAACCTAGCAATAAAGTCTCGATCACTACTAATGAATGGTTCCATTGAAGCAAAAGGTGTATCAGTCGATGGAGTAGAAGGGTATGCACATATTCTTGCGCTCATCATTTCCTAACATTCCCTTATTATGTTCACGGAATTAATTTGACGTACGTGCTGTTCACGCAATAGTAAGGAATTGGGAAGATAGAAAAAAAGCCAGTTGAAAAATGTAAAAATAGAAACTAAAGGTTAGATTCTAGTCGTAAAAAAGGAAAACGAATTTAAATGAGACAATCACACGTTAAGCTACCATGGAATCGTCGCTCGGGCCAGCAGAACCATCGCTGTGTTCACCAATGAATTCAAGACCTTTACCTTCAGCTTCATCTGAAATTAGTACTTCAAGACAGTAACACCACAAAGAGTGAATTAGAAACACTCTTTCTAGTAGTTACTCATACAATCATGAAAACGAAAAAAATGATGCGAGAAACAAACTTGAACATCCAGCTTTGAACTCGATAACTCGTGCACCAGTTATTCCATCCATGATATCACTGGCGGTTTCAGTTTTGAACAAGGAGAAAAGTAGCGGATCCTCCTAAAAAAACTGATCGTGAGAAGCTAATCTCTTCACCATCGTGATTATAACAAAATTTTTACACAATCAGTATTTCAGCATGCTTTTCAATGAACCCAGATGTAGAGAATTGGAAACCGTTCATATAAAAGCTATCTTAGGGATAGGAGTGAGTTGGATTCAAAAAGAAGTAAAACGCTGGGAAGCAACGCCGAGATAACGTCAAAGGGGGATACCTTCAGGCACATCATTTTCCACATTACTTTTGAAATAAAACTATGCATTGGATAAGATGAATGGAACAATTATCATCGACATATTGACTTTATGGTCCCATTTCCCCAAGTTCAAGGCGGCATCTGGAGAGAAAACTTATTATCACCGCATGGCAACGAGTTTTCGCCCCACGTACCTCTTGAAATCTATCCTCTTCCAATACACTTCACATCATCTACCCCAGTAACATCTAAGTCAGACGACTCACTACGAAAGCTGATGAGACCCCTGAGAACAAAGGAATGTGGAAGAAAAAAGAACAACAAAGTTATAGTACAAATAACGTACCTTACGCTTTTTAGTTTCCATGATAAGAGCCGCATGAGGATCCGCTGACCTTTTGCGGCGCACGCGAATAATTGGCATAATATCCGCCATGATCTCTGAAATCAATTATGGAATGAGCTGCAACACAGCTTCAGCAAAAAATACAAAACGAAAACCAGGAACAAAAAAGTAATAAAATAAAATAAAAGAATACAAGTATACATCCGGTTTCCTTGGAATTGATTATCCCCACGCAAAAGAAATTCTATGCCCACTGGTTGGTAAGGATGTTCACGGTGTGGTAGTCAGGTGACCAAAGAAAAGCATCAAGATGTTTTCGCTTTCAGCGAGTAATGACTCACTCGGGAGCGATAAAAAAGTGCCAAATTTCGTTACACTGTTAAATACTCTCTGCTAAGCTCATGTCTTTCCTTGTTATAGGAATAGAGAATTATTTCAGAGCGATGCGAGAGCGCATCCCAAATCGCGTCTGATGAAGTCAGACGCAAGATCTTTTGGTCAAATACTGGTCAACAGGAAAGGGGCCAACATTCCAACAAGGCCAGAAAGCTAAACCTTTCGCGGGAACTGAACACACGGAGCATGCTGTAAAAATTGGATGCGTTGGTCCAAGTAGAACAAAATGATAAACCTATGACACATAAAGCACATCAAACAGTCAAATAAAAACAACAAGTTGACGCTAGAATATCGTACTCCTTCTTGCATTAAAAAAACGAAAAAACACGCAACGCGGTAACTAAGCTAATGTAAGCTTCAAACAAATCGTGACGAGAGAATCAAAAGTTATAGCAATGCACAAGCTCTATCTAAATAGCCTACTAAACCCAAACAGTGATGTTCAAGACGAAAAAGAAGAATCCGAAAGCTTATCCCTGGTCGCACGAGCAAACCAGAGAGATCCGATCGGACGTGTAATCCGAACTTTTGAAAAATGTTCCCGCGCGCGCCCATCCAAACCACAACTGCACTGGAGCGAGCTTTCTACCACTGACGTATGTTATCGAAGAGGCTTCGTCAAACTGGTTTCTAGTTCTGGTTATGGTTTCTTATGACACAGTCTTGCGGTGGATTTCTTCAGAAGACCGATTTTTTTCTAAAATATCCTGTTACCCTGCGAGGGGTCCATACCAGTTTCTTTACCATCTGATAGGTTAATGATTATATGAGTAAAGTAGAGTGATCTCCAAGTTTCCGAACTTGACCATGATAATCGCACCTAGGGCGAAGCATGGGCGATGTGGCTGCGCAGTACCGCACCAAACGACTCCCTATCCTGAACCCTCAACTTTGCTACCTATGGGTACTAGTTCCGTTGGGCACATATGATTTCAGTGCAAGGTGGTGCAGTGTCAAAGGCGCACTATCTCACATCCATGATCACGAGTTGGAATCTCGGGTCGATACGTCTAGGCCAACCAAGCCTCCCATTCCTCCGGGATCGGGTAATTGGTATCAGACTCGTCTGGGAGGGTAAAAGCACTGACTTCTACATCAACTGGCCACCACAACTGATTAAATAAGCGTGTACGCATTTAATCTGCTGTTACGATTCTGAATGAAAGTCCAGTGCGGGGTGCAATCCAAAGGGCGAGAGGGAGGAACCACCTGAAACTTTATCCTCTCAAGCTTATAAAAACATGGATTTGGTTATGAAAGGTGATAAGGTCTGACACACTGTGGTCACGAAGAAGCTAGTGGTTCGGTGAGAGGCGAACATAGTGGATTACCCACATCGACTGGCAGGTAATAAAATCCGTAGAGCAGTGGAACTCGTATAAAAGTTCTGAGAAAGTTAACATAGTGAAAGCAGCTATAGTCGTCAAGATTACCTCTTGACTTCCATGACCGAGGTATCAGAAAATTTGTAAATGAATACTTTTTTTTTATCTAATCCCATTCTTATTCCGTCACTAATAGCAGAAAAATTGCACCACTGCCCGCAGGTGATTTTAGTCCCGCTTTCATAGTCCGCGCTTCAGCCCGCGAGCGAGCGAGCGACGGGGGCGGGCCGAATCGCCCCTTGTTTGCAACTGAATCGCGGTCGATGCCGCCGGACGAGTACTCATCCGTCGCTTGCTCGCTCGCTCGCGTGCACGCTGGCTAAATCGCGGACTATGAAAGCAACCAGTGATGAGAAGCTAAATGTGGCGAAGTAGTGTTTTTCGATGATGGACTTCGGATAAAGTGACGGAGGGGTTCTATTTATGTCTTCGCTTGAACAGTAAACAAACCGTTATGATCAGAGATGGAAGAAAAGCCAGAGTCGGATATTCTCATTTAGGTTAACCATCTCGAACTTGATCCGATCTCTACGGATGGTTTTTCAAGTAGTGCCGAAACTGGTGGCAGACAACAAACAGACAGACAAACAAACAGGCAGGCAAGCAAACAGTGAAGCAAGTAGACAGTTCAAACTTGTGGTTCATGTATGTTAGTGACGATTATCGTTTTGATCCATTCCAGGCTCTGAAGAATGCAGTATAGCCAAAACGATAGCCAATAAAGTTTTAATGGAAACCTCGTGAGAGTTGAAGACATGAACCCCATGGACATAGACAATCAAGCTACAGTCATGCCGAGGTCTATGGAAGTCTGTACGTGGAGATTAGAAAAGTGGGAGGCGTGGTGCGGGCATTAACAGAAGCTCTCCATGAGGGAGGCAGTTGTGGTATGATGTCACATCGTAGTCGTTTTGCTAGAACCAGGTTGCTTTAGCTAACGACCTCAGTTTCTTTTGTCATCAGCCATCGTTTTCTTGCTTTTCTTTCCCTCTGTGATTGTATGAGCCACTCAGTCTTTCCAAGAGACTTTCTAATGAGGACGAGATTCAGCTCGTGTGACTGGTTCAACAGCCTGTTCTAATAATTAGGTAGTCTGATGCCTACGAGTATCAGCTTCTTCTTTTTGTGTCTTACTCCTGAACACGTCTCATGCAGCAAGTTTCCAGTGTATCGAGCCGATGCGATGACAGTCGGGAATAAGCGAAAAGGAAGAGGGCAAAGAGTTGTCGATGATGAATTGCCAATTCTCCCTTCGAGTTTGATCAAAAGAACCATAGCCTTCGCTGTGTTCTGTTACTGATTTGATACCCGTTATTTTCTTGATGTTTACTCTGCACTACTCTCTTCCAGGTTATCTTACTGTCATGTTATTTGATGTAGCCAATGGGGTGAAAGGGTAGTGAGGTGACACGCACAGGGGAGCGTGCTCAGTCTCTGCTTCTGTAGGAAACTATTAGATTATATATAATTTATGAGAATAACACCGAAAATAGACAAATACATATTAATCAGAATCAGTAAATTACATGAACGAATAGGCATTTAATATTGACCAGGATGGGTGCGTGAAGACTCGGGTTTTTACCCTTTCAATGACAATGAAGCAAAGGTGGTTCAGTATGTTTATTAAGGAGGAGATCGAGATATGAGCGTGGGCGGGTTGGCCGTTCCCAACGCTTAACAAAGGCAAGTATATTACAAGAAAGAGTCCAGCAAGTACGAGCATAATCCCCGCACTCCGCCCCTCGAGATGCTACACGAGAGGGAGAGGTCAGCTATATGGGGGTCGTCGTCGACGACAAATATAGTACAACATAACAGAATACAGAGGCTGAGGGGAGGAAGTATTCGTGGTGTCCAGGGATTCGCCCCCAGAGAGAAAGAAGGCCTTGGGCTACCATCTTCAGTGACCAGCCTCCGTCGACTTCTCGTTGAGGTTCTCCTCG